TATATATATATGTATATGTATATATATATATGTATATGTATATGTATATATATATATATATGTATATGTATATATATATATGTACATGTATATATATACATATATATGTGTATGTGTGTGTGTGTGTGTGTGTGTGTGTGTGTGTGTGTGTGAGTAGGAGGATAGGACCAGCATGCACCGGGGTGGGCATATAGTTTTTACCAGCAGCATATCACAGCACAGGAGAGACAGCACTACAGGAGTTTTCTTTGTTCTTTAAGTTAGTTTGTTTTGTTTGCTTTATTTAATAAATACAAAAATTGGAATCCTGCTTGGACATTTCACTCTCTTCTGGCTGCGTAAAAATACCGACCACGGTGCATCAGTGGCGTTTGATTATCATTTGTTTAAGTTTGATTTAGCCGACAAATGGCCACTACAACATGGAACGACCTTAAAAAAGGATACTGGATGCTGTTACCGAAAAAAGACGCTCCATTTAAATGGGCATGACAATGTAGCAGCCGGAGACCCAGGCGGACCTTGGATGTAGGTTTTATTTAATGTTATTATTAAACAAACCAGAAGTCAAACTCAACTTTTTCTCTTCTGCCGGTAAACCTGAATCTTCCTGCTACAGCAGGTAACAACATCGACAGAGGAAGAATACTTTTTCTTCTCCAACTTAGAAAACCGTGCAGCGCATTCCTAAACCTCAATACTGCCTAAAATAACATGTTATCAGTCCTTAAGTTGAATTATAACTCTTTCTCTTGTCCTTATTTGCATATTTGGTATTGAGATTTTCCGAAAGTAACAAAAAGTTGCCAAGTCATGATATTGTGATACTTGGATTGGGTTGCTGACTACATTTCTTTTTAAAAGGTAACTAGTAATTGTATGGAAATACATTTATAAAGTAACTTTACTCTATTAAAGGGCCAGTGTGTAGCATTTCAAGGGATCTATTGGCCGAAATAGAATATAACATTCCAAACCTTAAATATGTCCTCACAGGTGCTGTAATGATGTAAACATGTGTTTCCTCAGAGTTTCAGTAATGCAGACCTTGTGGATGAGGAGCCCTCACCGGGGGAGAGGAGCTGCTCCACTCCACAATGGAGGTGCTATGCCAAGTACATCAGCTCCCAGCAGATCATCCTCACCTTCCTCCCTGCTTTCTTCACAGGTACACCTTCAGTTGTCCTCTTAGGTTTTGAACACATTCTGAGCAACGCGGAGGTTAAACGTGGATATTCTGTGTTTGTTTCGCAGACGTCCTGATGCTGATGGCGTCGGGGCTGGAGGCGGAGCCTCGGAGCAACGTCAGCACGCAGGATAACGACACTCTGAGCCCCAGCAACAAATCCCAGGCTGACTCCCTGTCCAGCTCCACCGGCGGTCTGGAGAGGTCCGAGTCCAGCCTCGGTTTGTCCGACAAGCTGAGGAGGAGCTCCAGCACCAGGTCCCCCGGGCTCTCACCGCGGTCCGAGGGCCAGGCCGGGCCCGCCGACTCCCTGATCCCGGACCAGGACAGCTGGGACAGCATAGTGTCAGTGTCTGAGACTGGGACCCCAGGCTCAGGTCGGTCCAACACCAAATTGGTGTAGTCCAGTCTAAAACGATTTAAAGGCTAAAGTCGAGCATCGCCACACTCTTAACTGTTAGCAAATTGAGATGAAGATTTTACACACAATAGGTGAACGATATCGCTGTTTCTAACTTTCCAGATCTGGGAGAAAAAGAGGGAGTCCAGTTCTCTGAACCACAGAAGGCAGATTTCCACATCAGCTTCAGCAGGCAGGTGTCCCAGCAGAGCACCAGTGAAGGCAGCCAATTAAGGTGTCCGGTCTACGTCTACAACTGCTCCCTGGAGCACCTGAAGGAGCAGCTGGTTCACCCCAACTCCAGCCGCCAGCCCAGGGACGTGTTCTTCAGGTACTCGCCTGCAGCAATGAAAGGCCGAGACAGACAGAAATCGAATTGGCGCCCATGTGAAAAGGTTTTTAAGGAAGTACAGCGGTGATCTGGATATTAGATTTTGATCAGTCTGATTATATGTGAGGTCATTTACTGTGCAGACATCACATGCCTGTTCTGCAGCAGAACCTGACTATGATCAGCGCTATGTCACTTATTAATTCCTCAGAAGTAAGAAAATGAACAGAATTGAACGTTGCAGTGAGAATTTATCATTGTTGCGAACTTACCGTGTTGTCCTTTTAATCATTCAGGTAGTTCTGGCACCACTCTTTTCAGTAATGATGACATTGTACTCACCAAGGTCCTTCTCAAGAGCTGGGGCCACACTGACATCACTGAAAGCATTCAGCCAGCACATGTGGAGAAGACAATGTGTGAATGTACATACAGAAATATAATGGCTCAGAATGTGACAGTGAACTGCTCATTGTATTGTTGTGTTTCTGCAAAGTGTAAGCCTCCGCTAAACATTCATGGCAACTTGCACACAAATGCACCTTGAGAGTGGAAGTTGACGTGACTTCTTCAGGTTTGATGTCTTGAGCTCCTGACTTCAATCAATCAATGAAACGGATGTTTTCTAATACATGCAAATGTCTTTTGTAGCGATGACTCCACCAGGAGAAGTGCCTACATGTGCAGGAGTATCCTGTCTACGATCAGGTTTTTGGATTATGGTGGTCATGTTTGCATGTAAACACCATATCCTGGTTGCAGAAACCCGAATACGCTAGCCGGAGTACTCGGGTAGATACTGCGGCATGTAAAGACCGTATCCAGGTTTCTGATCGTTCTCTGCCAGGAGTGCGGGTGTGTCCTCAATTCAAGTTATATTGACATTATACCGGCACTGTTAAACCACAGCATTTAGTCATTGTTACTGAGGTAACTGAGTCTGTACAGAAAATAGTGGCTGAGATGAGACACATCTGCAGGCCGACCATCAGACACCTCAATACTGTATGATGTACAGGGAGGGTTCTCACGTTCCGTGTAGAACACTAAACTAGCTACTTGCATGTACACTGGTTTAGATAACCTGGATAAACTATTGGTTTGTCTCCAACATTTAGCAATCACTTTGGTGAGTACAATATTATCATAACCGATAGAAATGACCGGCAAAGCTACCCATGAATGTTGCCAGAACATGCGTGGCGGTCCCGTTGTTAACATGTGTGTCTCTGTGAGAATAGAGCTCAAGATGCTGAGTCCTGGGAGATGTGTCAGCAGGTGAAGTTCAGGTAGCTTGACTCTGGCTTCGCTCTCCTTCCCTCTCTGTGCGCTGAGGCGCTGCTCACAAGTGTTGCTTCTCTTAACGCTGTAGGCTCTCTCCCCAGGCCTGTCTGTGCTTCCTCCTCAGGCTTGTGTCGCTGCACACACACACACACACACACACACACACACACACACACACACACATATCAAGTGCACTGCTGCCACACACTGAACACAACACAGATTTAAAGGGACAGTGTGAAGAATTTGGTGGCAGCTAACTATTTCTAGCTGTACACTAGATACACTACATGCAAATACACAGTAATCAGACCGTAGTTTGAACAGAGTTCCTGAGAAAGTTGAGTTAGTATGTGCTTGTTATCGTATGTCACGATATCTTAATGTATAATTTCATCACAATATGATTGCTCTGAAAGATGGTCCGTTATCATATTGAATGATCACCCAGCTCTAGTGTTACTTAGTGTTAGAGTTACACAGGCCCAAATCCACTGAGTGCAGTGAAGAGCACGTGTGCACATTATTTCAAGTCAAATATGAAGCCTTGTGTCAGTTTATGTCTGTGTTTTCATTGGCACATGGTGGTGATGGCCCAGTGTATGCAGTCTGGTGAATTTGCCACAGGAAGAACTACAGACTTTGACATTGTTTCATTTGGTCAGATTAATAAAATGATCAAGAAGGCTTATGAATTCAGCTTTTTGTTGTCATTTAAATTAAAGAGACCTTAAACTAAAGTTAGGTGGGAGGTGAAAAGGCCAATTCTAAAAGAGGAGACAAATTCTGTCTTGTGTAATTTGGGAGATGGAATATGATCGGCTGACACCACATGCACACAGTAAATAGCACAGCAAAAAGTTGAATTTTAAGCAAGAATTGGTATTTTTGCTATTTACCGCCCCGACAGCTTCACCACCGATGTAAATACGACACCCCCAGTCAGAGAAGGCTAACTCGACGACTAAAAGCCAAGTCAAAATGATTTTCAAGCTGTTGAAATTCTAATTTATATCAATTCATCTTTTAACGTAACAAAAAATCTGAATCATTTTTTATATTCAGTGCATTTACATTTTTTGTCTTTTATTTTACAAAGCGAATCTAAAACATTTCAATGATGAAAGTAGAGTGTGTGTAGAACTATTAGTCTCCTTCTATCACTGTGTATCGTACCACAGTGGGTATAACTGCAGCTGTGCAGGTATGTGTGTATGTTGCAGCAGTTTGTCTTCACACCTTGCTGTTCCATGGATGAAAACACTTTGGTGATCGAGGTCTTTTCACAACTGTTTCATGTTTTTTCCTCCCTTTTGTCCTGATCTTTTGTTTTTCAAACGCATGCTGTGGAGGTTCAGCTGTCTCTTACCGGCTTATTGGCTCCTTGGACTTTGCTTCCTGTAGTTGGAGATCTGGGCTAAAGCCATCCGAAACGCTTATGCAACAGCACACAAAACTGTCTCACATTGTCTCTTTACACACGTGCGTCAAAAGAATTAACATAAATCTATTGGAAATCTATCAGTCTTTCTAACTGAGGACATGTGTCCTCTGGCAGGTCACTGTCCCAGGACCGCAGCAGTCCGTCCCCTTGGACCGACCTCCTGGCTCAGCCTCACAAACACAAGGAGCTCGCCAACTACTGCAGCCTGCTGCAAGAGCATTACCACCAGAGCTACGTCAGAGGTGAGGAGGTCATGGAACTATTAGTGACACATTATTTAGGTCAACTAAAATGTGCAGAATCTACACAGCCCTGTCTGGTATTGACCCTTTATAAAGCTCTCTGAGGAGGGAGCTATCTGTACACTTCTTCATAGCATTAAAGGGAAAGTAATCGCAAGAACAAGGAGGTACATGGACAAATTGAGTTATAAGTTATTTTATATATATATATCTATCTATCTATCTATAAGCAATCAACTTTTTCAATCCCAGTTGGAGCTTCATGATCAAATCATTGATAAACTGTATCTCATTAATAATCAGACTGTCCATGGTTGCGTGTTCTGCCCATTTAGAAGCATGTCACGTTTTTATATCTATGCGACCATAAATATATGCATCAGTTCAGGCTGAAGAACAATACTTTATTTACACTACATAGTTCATACAAACAGATACAATGATTAACAACAAAGCATTGAGCCATTGTATGAAAGCTCAATATGAGGTGATTAAAGATTAAAGGCCTTTACACATCAGCAGCATTTCATTTGCACGTCAATATATAGTTTAGAGCTGTTGTCTTTGTCATGATTAGGCATCAACCAATCATGTTGTGCGGAACAGACATATTCAAAATGTCCACTATAGTGTACAACAACACAGGCTCCATAGTGTGAACCCAGACGCCAAACTTTATTACTCCTTTCAACTTTGACAAAGGCAGCGCAGACCAGATCCTCTTCTTCCATTCTTACCTTTCACAATAAAAGCCCTAGACATATACAATGTGTAACTGTTGATCAGAGGGAACTTGAGTTCACCCAGAGTATTTCACTGAACTGAATAGTTTACAGTAGCTTGAGGCTATACAACAGTTCATCTCAGGCAGACTGTCAGATGCTTGGTCAATAGGATCCTGGTAGTTGGTCCTCTGCCTGCAGGAATATATTCAGACCTTGAATAAGTGTTACCATTATATCAATATTTCACTTCTAAATATCACGGTTAGTCATCGGGTCATTCATGCGCTCTCCTGGCTTTGTGTCTCAGGTGTGTACCGCAGCCTGCAGCAGTCCTACAGCATCAGCTCACAGGACGTCCTGATGGCCATGGACTACTGCGAAGAATCCCTGCAGGAGATCGACGTCACCTCCTTCCTGCAGACCCTCTGTGGACACATCCGGGTCTTCAGGGAGCACCCCGGGATGCCAAGATGGGGAGGCAATCCAACACCTTCGAGGAGCCCTGCCACCTTCATCATTGGAGAGGTGGAGGGGCAGCGACCAGATGACAGGGCCGCCGTGGCCTCCTCGTCCAGGTAATGTGCACTGAACATCGTGTATTACATGTTTCTTTCAATTTCATACTTTTATTTTCTTCTATCTCAAGTTAGAGTGGTCGTGTGTGTGAATGTGTATATTCAGATCTGCCAATGCTCATCAAGATACAAGGGGAGCACACAATGAACTCCTGCTTGATTGATCTTCATTCACTGTCACATCATTTAAGCTTTGAGATCAGATTACGTGAAGTGAATCTCATCACCTGCTCGTGTTTTAGACGTTGGTTTGATGTAAATATTCTCTACCTGTTCAGCCTTAAGCTTTGAAGCTGCAGTAACCAATAAATGAAGGTTGAACAATGAATCAAATGACCATGTGTAATGTGTGTCACGTGTGATGATGAACCCAGAGAGAGTTATCACCACCTCTACGCTCTACAGAGCTTCAGCTAACAGCTCTACTGCAGCAGGCCGACACACACTGTAAACTAGGGCTGTCCTGGTCCAGTCTGATCGGTCAAGTGTTGCCTATTGTCAACTGATTGTCAAACCAGTTTTTAGGGTTTTTCGTTGTGTGTCTACGCTGTCCGTAGAACTGAACCGGACACGATCTCTTAACACGCTTGTAAATAGAACTTTTGGCCCGAATTCAATTTCCCTTCATTGTAGCAATCCATAGACAGAAGAGAAACCACTGGGAGGGGGAGGGAGACAATAGGGAGATGGAGAGAGAATGAGAGATATGGAGATTGACAGAGAGATGGGGGGGGGGGGCAGAGATACAAACGGCCGACTCCCTCTGCTGATTTTGAAGGAGAGTTGTTGATAACTTCTAAATATATCTAGCGTTGTGATGTGAGTGCTCTGAATAATTGTTGTTGAACCAGCAGCCTCTTATTCTAGCCTTTCTTACTGAGGCTGTGGCCAAGACGCTGCTCTGATGCTCCCTTTAGTTTGGATAGTGATTTATTCACACTCACTCAGGAGTTATTGAAAGCACATGAGTTATTAACAGTATTATTTAAAGGCTGATATTTCAACCATAATAGACGACAGAGAAACCAATCACATCGATGTAAAATCAGACCCCCCC